AGAATAGAATAGAATAGAATAGAATAGAATAGAATAGAATAGAATAGAATAGAATAGGAAAATATTGGTATGGATTAGAATAGAATAGAGTTGAACTTGTCTTTCCTAATACTAACATACTTGATAACCAACATGTTTATTTATGTTTTAATGCTTGCATTTACACCTATCATGTAGGATCTGTTGAAGCACTTCACACTAGACATGGATTTCTGTCACTGCAACAGTATCAAGAACTTGGCAGAAAAAGAGCGCCGAATTTCACAGCTGACAGACAAGAAATTTACAAGCTGTTCCAAAAGTATCTGGTAGGTTTAAATACAAGTCAAAGTCAAAACATTTGCTGTAAAATACTCAATAGTGAAATATTTGTCTAATTGCACAAAGTGGGTGGAGTTCGGATATTAATGGTATAATATATTTTAATATTAATCATAATTAGAATTGTACATTTTAATATTAATGTAAATTAGATGACTATATTAACATATTTAGATTACCATATTTTCCTGGGTATTAGCCCACTCCTTTATTTTTAAACATTAAATGAGTTGAGGGCATCCAGGTTATAGGCCCAGGGTGTTTTTAGTGGGCATTAACAATGGGTTAACATTTATTAAAATATTGAATGATATAAATATGTATAAAGTGTGTTTCATTGCATAAAAATCATAATTGGTACATATGTATATAGTAGTTCTCTCTTTTAAAGTGGATGGTGGCTCTGACAAGGGCAGTTTGGTTTTACAAGAAAACTTGCATAAATGTTATGTTTATGACCAGGGAAATATGATAGTACAAATTAATATTAGATTTTCTACATTTTATTATATCACAGCATGTGAAGAGTCAACACAATCTGTTTGATGAGTGTGATCTGGTGTACAGTGTTTCAAGTCGACTCAAGAAAGTTAGAGTTCCTGATTGGGTCGTGCATCAGTTTTACATTGACGAGACACAAGATTTCACACAGGCCGAATTGTCTGTGATTATTCGATGCTGTAGTAATCCAAACGCCCTCTTTTTAACTGGTAAGTTTGACTTGATGTCAATATTGATCGCCTTCTGATGCTCTGATTGGCACGTACATGTATTCACATTCTTTGTATGTTGTGTTTCACCCAGTTGTATATTACTGGTCAGAAGCAAACTTTTGAGCCCAAGCACATGGGAGCATTTGCGTGAGGAAGACAAATGTTGCATGAGATTACAAATGCCAATATTCAGCTATAATAATTTTATTACATACAGTAGATACATATACATCACTGGTTATTAACAAAATTTATTTGCAAGCACATGCATTCTAAACAAGCATTCTCAACATAGCAATGATCAGTACAACTGGCAACTGGTAAATGAACAATTCACAATTTGCTGTAACACAAAATATTCTAAACCATATTAAATTCGTATGAAAGTGATGCACTGTAATAACAGATTTGTCTGGATAGCAGTCTGTAACGAGCATATGCGTGTCACCGATTACAAATGTTTCCCTTGAATTGCATTGATAGGTGATACTGCCCAAAGCATCATGAGAGGTGTGGCTTTTCGATTTGATGACTTGAAGACATTATTCCACTTTGCCAGTAAATCTATGAAAGCGGTTGGTAAAACTGCAAGAGTTACGGTACCAAAGCGAGTCTATCAACTGACTCACAACTATAGATCCCATGCTGGTAAGTTCATTCTCATACACGTGACTGCTGTTTCAAATTTATGTGGATTTTCTATTACATTGTAAAAATGTTGAAGTATGTCAAAAGCTTTATATATGTAAAATGTATATATATAATAATAATATATAATAAACTTATAGTTACAATTAAGGACAATATTTTTTATAATTTTGATCACCATGTAAAACAATTTTTTGATCAGTTTAAAAATATTCATATGCTTTAAATTATTACTTAAATTATATTGTCTATCCTGGTCTACATGTGTGTCATTTTACAATGTTTTTATTTTCTAGGGATCTTGAATCTGGCAACAAGCGTTGTTGATTTGATGATTGAATTCTTTCCTGAGTCATTTGATAGACTACAGAAGGATCAAGGTTTATTTGATGGACCACAGCCAGTGATATTGGAATCTTGCAGCTTTAGCGACCTGGCTCTGTTGTTGAGAGGCAACAAGCGAAGAACGTCTGAGATAGAATTTGGTGCCCACCAGGTAACCTAATATGTAGTAAATATTGTGCAAATTAAAATAAAAAATTAAAATAGCATGATTCTTTAATAACTAATTTTTGAGAAATGTTATTTCTAAAGATTTTTGCAATCATGCATTACGTGATGGCAGCTACGTGTATTTGTGAATAGAAACTAGATAATCTAATGCTGCAAATAGATTAGAATTAGAATAGCATGTACTGAAACAACATTTCATGTATGGGAGTTTACATACAGGTTTGTATAACTGTATTAATGGTACATGCATATATTGCATTATTTTGGCACCAACCACTAATATCACAAGCCCTACGCAACTTGTTGGGAGCCATTTGTAAGTTTAGTTTTCTGGTCACCAACAAGACCTGGTTGTATAAAACCACCTGTGGTTTCCACCCTCAGCAGTCATTGGTGAATGTGGTCTTAGCCTTACCATCAAGTCTATGGCGTACTTAGCTCACTGGCAA